AAGCGAAATAAGAACTACGACAATTACACGGATCGAAGTCTTAAATCTAGCAATAATTGCAATCCTCAACTTAGGTGATCAAGCTAAATTAAAGAACACATATTATGACAAGAAACTAGAATAACATAATCAATTTTATACGACGAGTAAAACAAAATAAAATTGCATTAATCAAACATAGTCACCGAGGGTTCAACGTCCCTAGAACCGAAATAGTGTTTAGCTACTCATAGCTAAATGATCAAAACAATAATCCATGTTCTAAATTAAACAAAAGAAAATAAAATAAATAAAACCAAACTCCTTATTGTTCAAAATTGTCCACGGCTTCAGGTGATGAATTGTCCAAATGCAGCTCTCAGCCCTCCTATTCTGCCTCTCTTGCCATCCCCCAAAAGTCCAAATTAAGAGTCCTCTTGATATGTGTTTTTCTTTTCAATTTTTTGATTAGTGTCAAGAGTCCCACCAATTTTAAATTCTTCCTCTCCAATCAATTCTCCCAGGCCAATAGCAAGAGTCCAAAGGAAATTCAATTCCCCTCATCCTCGGTCAACCTCCAAATAATAATATCACACTTAACTGAAAATGATTCCTACTGTCCACTGTTAAGCCGAATAAAAATTGTAATCCAACTTCTTGCCTACTAAGTTGCCACGTCACAAAATGGTATAATAACTACAAAATAAACACAAAATCCAAATATTGGTGTTTGTCCGTTCACAAAATAAATTACGTGAGAAAACTTGAAAAATACAATAAAATTCAATACTCAATATATAAATTAAACCCCGAAATAGTACAAGTTTTCTCACTTATCAGGCAACGAGGGGCTTAGGTCGCACGCATTTATCAAGAAAATAAGGGTATGACATCGTGCTCTTTAACCGAGCGTGCTTTATCACTAATCGAAATCTCCAGGTCTCACTCTCACCAAATGCGCTTTTAGGTGAAGCTGAAATAAAGTATATGAGAAATTATTTGGAAGATGACTTTGTTTTTGAAGAATTACTTTGGTGAACGTTATATAATAATGTACTTTGAGAAATCAGTTTTGCTGAGGAGCCAACTGTTGGCTCCTTTACGTGCCAACTGTCTATGTGGCATGCCTACATGGCAATTCAAATAAATCCTACTATATTTTTTTTAAAATTCTGTTTTTTTTTTTTTTTTTTGAGAGAACGCAACAGAAGAAATAAAACTCTTCATCGACTGAAATGTACGGCGAAGCAAAATTATGCTCCTCCATTGCATAGATTGGACCTACGACACTTAAAGGAGAACCCTGATCAATTCCATCAATTCCCTTAATTTATATTTTTTTCCATCCCCTCCAATTATTCACCAAATCGGCTTTGAGAGGAATATCCATGACTGCGACCCAATCATCCTCTTCTCGCGACGACAAAGGCATTCCCATCCCCACCGGCCTAGCCAGCCTTATCGCGACGACTGTAGCCGCCACCACTACCCGCCCGGCGGGATGTCGTCCCTCACTGACACGTACAAGGACAACTGATAATCTCCCCGCTGCAGTACCATTCGATTATGAAGACTCTCAAGATACTCCGGCAATTTACATAGGGATGAAAACGGAACAAGTTGATAAAGTATTCATTCCTCAAGTTGATTCGACTATCGTGCCTAAAATCGGTCTACAATTTCAATTAGATGAAAAGGCTCATATTTTCTATAATACTTATGCTAAGGATGTGGGGTTTATCATTGAAATTCGGAATGATGAAAAGAATAAAATAGATGACACGTTTGTTTGGAGGGATTTCACTTGCTCGAAACAAGGTAAGACACATGAGTCATATCGAAAAAATAAACATGTAGTGGCAGTGGCGAAACCAGCCGGTCATCTCGGGGAGGGCCCAATTTGCCGCGGCGCACCACCCCCACTCCGGCCATCCCGCAGCG